ACATCACCAGCAGGGATGGAGACAGTTTAATGTAGTATATTGGTGCACATGTAGTATATCGAATACAGTGACAGACATCACCAGTGTGGATGTAGACAGTATAAAGTGATACGTACTGGCTTGTTTTATAAAATGCCAGTTGTGTGGCTGCTCTGTTAGCAGATTAGTAGTTGCATGCATATAACAAATCCTCAAATGTACACTGATTGTGAGTGGTTTGAGCAGTAATTAACTGGTGTTTGTTGTTTGCATGGTATCAAAATTGTTTAATTTGGCTCTTTTTGTCCATTGCAATAAACCATACACTTTTGTTCGATGCTTTTATGTACATCAAAAGAATCTCGCGGTTGCGTAATGGTAAAAAATGACAGGCTTTGAAGTCGTGTGTCGCTCCTTTGTAATCTTCAAAGGACAGGTAAAATCGCAGCGATTGGTCAGTTTTTTTTTAACTGAGACCAATAAAACAGTTATCTTCGTGACTTCAATTTTGCTTTGACATATTCCAGGGGTGCAGAGAGCGAACATGAGCGTAACCCCTAGCTATCGTTGATGTCACAGAGCTAGCTTTCATAGAGTTGCATTGTTAGACTCCACTTTGTATGCACATTGTTTACAGTCCCGCTAGGCACCTGAATGTGATGTTTTTAATCACTGAAGCCAAAACATACAAATAAAAGTTGCTATAATCAAGAAGAAACAAAACTGTATGACAATTTTAACAACCTCTAAATTTGTATGCTAACGTACGTGTCAATCCACTGCTGACAGTTGTCCTGGAGGTACTGTACAGATACAGGTGTGGCGTGAGACCGCAGGGTCGGGCAGAAATCTGGATAACATTACAATGTGGCAGTCAGCAATCAATGTGATGATAACATTACAATGTGGCAGTCAGCAATCAATGTGATAATACCATTACAATGTGGCAGTCAGCAATCAATATGATGATAACATTACAATGTGGCAGTCAGCAATCAATGTGATAATACCATTACAATGTGGCAGTCAGCAATCAATATGATGATAACATTACAATGTGGCAGTCAGCAATCAATGTGATAATACCATTACAATGTGGCAGTCAGCAATCAATATGATGATAACATTACAATGTGGCAGTCAGCAATCAATGTGATGATACCATTACAATGTGGCAGTCAGCAATCAATATGATGATAACGTTACAATGTGACAGTCAGCAATCAATGTGATGATACCATTACAATGTGGCAGTAAGCAATCAATGTGATGATAACGTTATAATGTGGCAGTCAGCAATCAATGTGATGATAACGTTACAATGTGACAGTCAGCAATCAATATGAGGATAACATTACAATGTGGCAGTCAGCAATCAATATGATGATACCATTACAATGTTGCAGTCAGCAATCAATGTGATGATAACGTTACAATGTGGCAGTCAGCAATCAATATGATGATAACATTACAATGTGGCAGTCAGCAATCAATGTGATGATACCATTACAATGTGGCAGTAAGCAATCAATGTGATGATAACGTTATAATGTGGCAGTCAGCAATCAATGTGATGATAACGTTACAATGTGGCAGTCAGCAATCAATATGATGATAACATTACAATGTGGCAGTCAGCAATCAATATGATGATAACATTACAATGTGGCAGTCAGCAATCAATGTGATGATAACGTTACAATGTGGCAGTCAGCAATCAATGTGATGATAACATTACAATGTGGCAGTCAGCAATCAATATGATGATAACATTACAATGTGGCAGTCAGCAATCAATATGATGATAACATTACAATGTGGCAGTCAGCAATCAATGTGATGATAACGTTACAATGTGGCAGTCAGCAATCAATGTGATGATAACATTACAATGTGGCAGTCAGCAATCAATATGATGATAACATTACAATGTGGCAGTCAGCAATCAATATGATGATAACATTACAATGTGGCAGTCAGCAATCAATGTGATGATAACGTTACAATGTGGCAGTCAGCAATCAATGTGATGATAACATTACAATGTGGCAGTCAGCAATCAATATGATGATAACATTACAATGTGGCAGTCAGCAATCAATATGATGATAACATTACAATGTGGCAGTCAGCAATCAATGTGATGATAACGTTACAATGTGGCAGTCAGCAATCAATGTGATGATAACATTACAATGTGGCAGTCAGCAATCAATATGATGATAACGTTACAATGTGGCAGTCAGCAATCAATGTGATGATACCATTAAAATGTGGCAGTCAGCAATCAATGTGATGATAACATTACAATGTGGCAGTCAGCAATCAATGTGATGATACCATTAAAATGTGGCAATCAGCAATCAATGTGATGATAACATTAAAATGTGGCAGTCAGCAATTAATGTGATGATAACATTACAATTTGGCAGTCAGCAATCAATATGATGATAACATTACAATGTGGCAGTCGGCAAACAATATGATGATAACATTACAATGTGACAGTCAGCAATCAATGTGATGATAACAGGTAACATAGGTACATGCATTAGTTGTATTCTGATATTATACAGGTAACATAGGTACTAATCATGTTCTGATATTATACAGGTAACATAGGTACTAGTTGTATTCTGATGTTATACAGGTAACATGGGTACTAGTTGTATTCTGATATTATACAGGTTACATAGGTAATAGTTGTATTCTGATATTATACAGGTAACATAGGTACTATCTGATATTATACAGGTAACATAGGTACTAGTTCTCTTCTGATATTATACAGGTAACATAGGGTCTAATCGTGTTCTGATATCATACAGGTAACATAGGTACTAGTTGTATTCTGATATAATACAGGTAACATAGGTACTAGTTCTATTCTGATATTATACAGGTAACATAGGTACTAATCGTGTCCTGATATTATACAGGTAACATAGGTACTAGTTGTATTCTGATATTATACAGGTAACATAGGTACTAGTTCTATTCTGATATCATACAGGTAACATAGGTACTAGTTGTATTCTGATATTATACAGGTAACATAGGTTCTAATCGTGTTCTGATATTATACAGGTAACATAGGTACTAATCGTGTTCTGATATTATACAGGTAACATTAGTACTAGTTGTATTCTGATATTATACAGGTAACAAACTTTGTTAAAAATATGAACTAAAGCACCTGCTAAGAATGATTTTTTGTATTTTATTTATTTTTTGGCTCAAATGGAACTATCTTTTGTTGTGTAGGATTGTCCATATACGTGCTAGTGGTAAAAGGATCCAGATCAAGTATTGTCAGCTTGATGTGTCGTGTCCTTGGTAGATAATACCAAATCTATTTCACTTACCTGTGTGGCTAATATATTGATATATTTTACACCTGCGATATCCAACCTCATAATAAGTCTGCCCTCATGACAGTTGGTGAAAAGTTAGCAGAGTAAAACATTGGAGAACATTTCCCTGTATGTTTGACAAGCAATTACCTAAAACTGAGGATGGAAGACTTTTTAGTGATGAAGATTGGTGAAAGTCCAGTAATCCAGATTCTGTGAATTAAGAGAGTATTTTTATATTACAGACATATTTTAAAACATAAATGAAACTGTATTGCTACAAATATCATAATCATTTACAACAAATCTCATTCACAATTTTATATATTTAAACAAGTACAGTAAAACCTGTCTTACATGATAACTGACAGGAGTCAGTTAAAAAGGTCACAGAAGATAGGCAGTCACTTAACACAGGTAAGCATTGTAAATAAGGTTGCATCAGACAGGAAGATGCTGAATACACACTTAAGCAAATGTATGGCAACAGACTTTTTTCATACCCTGCAGTATAAGCTCACTGCACTAATAAAATAAAACAAGAAAATCAGTAAAACTAAAGGGTTATGCTCCCGAAAAGAACACCTGTACTGGAATAAAAGTTATGTGTTGCATACTTTGATGTGAAAATTATCATACCTGGTGCAATTATCATCTCTGAAATTATTGAACAGTGTGAAGAAAACGAACTCAATTACCTCAAGCATCAAACCATTTTTTCTTCTAAACTTACATGTGAAGATATACAAGTTAATATTTGGACAAACAATTTAACATGTTGGGCTCCACATGTGGTAAATAAATGTCTGAATAACCAGTTTTTGAATTCGGTCCCCAGTTCGCGTTCTTCAGACTGAGTTACCTGTTCACCACTGAAAACCCTACTATATACAAGAAAATGAATTTAACTCTTGACCTCAATGTGGGCTTGACCTTGGTTGTATAGACCAAAAAGTGGTATGCCACACTAAAATTTCATTGAGTTATCTTCAGCAAGCCAGAAGTAATCAACCTGAAAATGAATTTGACCTTTCAACCTAAATATTACACTGTACCTTGACCTTGGGTGTTCAGATCCAATTGTAGTATGGGACACATTTCCTGTCCATCCTACATATATCTAAAAGATTTTAGTCAAATATTTTCAGGGAATCAGATGGTATGGCCAAGACAATTTATTTGACCTTTGAGCGCAATGGGACCTTGACCATAGGGAAATGAACCCAATATTTGTACATGACATACAATCCTGCAAGTAGCTCTAAAATTTCATTGAGCCATCTTCAACGAGTCATACGCTATGACCAGGACCTTGACCTTGGACATTCATTCAAGTTTTCTCACAAACTTCATAGGGTGATCCCGTTGTTGCTAGGGAAGAGATTACTCTATATCACACAGGGTAGGGAAAGACAGCTGACATGCGCTATGACCTCATAATAATGAATTGTCAAAGTGACATCATTGTATTGTTTCCGTGATGTCATACAATTGGGTTACCTCCGTCTCAACCCTAAGGTTTTGGGGTTTTGGCAGAAGAATCAGATTAATGTTTATTCTGACTGGATTTTTTTTTATTTTTAAGTATGTGAGAAAAGTAATCAAACATGGGTCTGTTCTATGGACACTGATATCTCAACCCTCGTGTAAGCGTTTTGCTGGCCAGCACTTGGCAAGCCTCGAGCTGACCAGCCAAACTCTTACACTCGGGTTGAGATACCCTGTCCACTGAACAGACCCATGTAAGATTCTATTAATCTAGAAAGCGAGTTAAGATACCACCTGGCAAATGTAATTGTCCTTTGACCTCAATGTGACCTTAACTTTGGGCATACAGACCCAAAAGTAAGTGACTCATTGCCTCGTCTCCCTGCATATATTTCTAAAATTTCATTGAGTTATCTTCAGCCAGTCAGAAGCTATGGTACGAAGAAAGAATTTGACCTTTGACTTCACTGTAACCTTTGACCTTGGACATACACACTCAAAAGTGGTATGCAACACTGTCTTGCCATTCTGCATATATTGCAATAAAATTCATTTTCGTATCTTCAGCAAGTCAGAAGTTATGTCCCGACAACAAATTTGAACCGTGACCTCAATGTGACCTTGACTTTCAGCATATGGCCCAAATAGTGGTGTGTAACACATCACCTTGCCATCCTACATGTATCATTAAAATTCCACTGAACTATATTGAGCAAGTCCGAAGTTATGGTCCAGGATGGTAGAACAGACAGAGATGCTACTAAATGCTCTCTGAAATATTTTTCCAACAGCATATCTGTCACAACACAATGATAAATAATTCTGTCCAACAAGTTACAAATTTTCATTATAATGAGATTAACATTAAGAAATACTTATTTTGTTGTGTTATTCTATCTCACCATGCTGTTTCTGAGATGTCACCGTTGTTAGGATGGTCACCAGCAGGTTACTGCACACTGAAAGAGAGTCAGTACTGTCACTTTTAAAACATGTTTTAATTCATTGTCAAATCACAAATCAAACAGTATTAAGGTAAGAAATTGTTTAATCCCAGCGAGATATCAAATTCTATCAACTTGACAAAACTGTGATAAGTGTCAAAACTGATGAATTTCTGTTCAGACACAGATTAAGCAACAGCAAGATAAACTAGAACCGTAAGCCAAAGGCTTACTAAGGCAAAGCATTGCAAAGCAATATAGTCTCCCACCAGTAATGATTTCTTTATTGGCTGAGCTGTACACTGATTTAAGTATACAGGTCACTCACATACTTCCTGACTACTTCCTGTCAATGCCAAAACATACTTGTAAACCAAATATTGTTAGCCCAAAAGAATTTTTGCTGAAATTATCAGTAGTTAAGGAAGAGATGTCAGGACAAAGATTTTTCACAAAGGGCCATAACTCCTTAAAAAGGGTCGAAACCGAAAACATACTACTCTGATGCATGACATCAGCGGGTTATAACGATATCTGTAAACTTTCATTGAAATTGGTCCAGTAGTTGAAGGGTTTCTTCAACAAAGGGACATAACTCCTTTTAAAAGGGTCAGAATGAAAAAGTACTATTTGGATGCACAACGTCAAGGCCCTCAGTTGCCATATTTGTAACTTTTCTTTGAAATTGGCTCAGTAGATAAGGAGAAGATGACAGGACAAGGATTTAATTACTGTTTTGGTACATCTTTACTAGATGTACTAAGGCATTTATTTGCCAACATAACTGTACCATAAAGAAAACAAGGAAGTTTGGTGAGTAGCCTGTGCAGCCTTGCTGTGTGATATCATTAATATTAGAATATAAGAATATGGCACCAGAGTTTACGCTATTAAATCCATACCTGTTTTGATGCAGTAACAATTTTGTAGATTTAATAAACAGAAACATTCAACGGATTTCCCTTTGAATACTAATATCTTTCATTACAATGTCAGAATATACTTATATTTTCATTTGTGCTTCACACTTGTGAAAAATAGTGCTATTCTGCTATACTCATGAAATCAACATGGTATTCCACGGGAAACCATTAAATATTACTAGTATGGAGCTTTGGTACATTTATCTTTATATGAAAATGTGAATGAAAACATAAAGATAAAACAGTTACTTCAATTACTTGAAAGTAGAAAGATCAATCCTTGTAATCCTGAAATGTTTAAAGTGACACAGTATATACTGTCTTCCTAACTCCAATAGCTCAGCTGTTGGTAAAAGACACTGAAAATCTGGATTACTTACCTTCCATAGCCGAGCTACCTCCTATATCTATCACCTTGGTAGAACACGGTGTGCTTCTTGTGAACCTACCTCCTATATCTACCACCTTGGTAGAACACAGTGAGCTTCTTGTGTACCTACCTCCTATATCTATCACCCTGGTAGAACACAGTGTGCTACTTGTGTACCTACCTCCTATATCTACCACCCTGGTAGAACAGTGTGCTTCTTGTGTACCTACCTCCTATATATATAACCTTGTTAGAACACAGAGTGCTTCTTGTGTACCTACCTCCTATATCTACCCCCTTGGTAGAACACAGTGTGCTTCTTGTGGACCTACCTCCTATATCTACCACCTTGGTAGAACACAGTGTGCTTCTTGTGTACCTACCTCCTATATCTATCACCTTGGTAGAACACAGTGAGCTTCTTGTGTACCTACCTCCTATATCTATCACTTTGGTAGAACAGTGTGCTTCTTGTGTACCTACCTCCAATATCTATCACCTTGGTAGAACACAATGTGATTCTTGTGTACCTACCTCCTGTATCTATCATCTTGGTAGAACAGTGTGTTATTTGTGTATCTACTTCCTATATCTATCACCCTGGTAGAACACAGTGTGTTTTTTGTGTACCTACCTCCTATATCTATAACCTTGGTAGAACACGGTGTGGTTCTTGTGTACCTACCTCCTATATCTACCACCCTGGTAGAACACAGTGTGCTTCTTGTGTACCTACCTCCTATATCTACCACCTTGGTAAAACAGTGTGCTTCTTGTGTACCTACCACCTATATCTATCACCTTGGTAGAACACAGTGTGCTTCTTGTGTATCTACCTCCTGTATCTATCACCTTGGTAGAACAGTGTGCTTCTTGTGTACCTTCTTCCTATATCTACCACCTTGGTAGAGCAGTGTGCTTCTTGTGTATCTACCTCCTATATCTATCACCTTGGTAGAACAGTGTGCTTCTTGTGTACCTACCTCCTATATCTATCACCTTGGTAGAACACAGTGTGCTTCTTGTGTACCTACCTCCTATATCTATCACCTTGGTAGAACACAGTGTGCTTCTTGTGTACCTACCTCCTATATCTACCACCTTGGTAGAACACAGTGTGCTTCTTGTGTACCTACCTCCTATATCTACCACCTTGGTAGAACACGGTGTGCTTCTTGTGTACCTACCTCCTATATCTACCACCTTGGTAGAAAACTGTGTGCTCCTTGTGTACCTACCACCTATATCTATCACCCTGGTAGAACACAGTGTGCTTCCTGTTTACCTACCTCCTATATCTAACACCTTGGTAGAACACAGTATGCTTCTTGTGTTCCTACCTCCTATATCTATCATCTTGGTACAGCAGTGTGCTTCTTGTGTACCTACCTCCTATATCTATCACCTTGGTAGAACACGGTGTGCTTCTTGTGTACCTACCTCCTATATCTACCACCTTGGTAGAACACGGTGTGCTTCTTGTGTTCCTACCTCCTATATCTATCATCTCGGTACAGCAGTGTGCTTCTTGTGTACCTACCTCCGATGTCTATCACCTTGGTAGAACACGGTGTGCTTCTTGTGAACCTACCTCCTATATCTACCACCTTGGTAGAACACGGTGTGCTTCTTGTGTTCCTACCTCCTATATCTACCACCTTGGTAGAAAACTGTGTGCTCCTTGTGTACCTACCACCTATATCTATCAACCTGGTAGAACACAGTGTGCTTACTGTGTACGTACCTCCTATATCTATCACCTTGGTAGAACAGTGTGGTTCTTGTGTACCTACCTCCTATATCTACAACCTTGGTAGAACAGTGTGCTTCTTGTGTACCTACCTCCTATATCTATCACCCTGGTAGAACACAGTGTGCTTCCTGTGTACGTACCTCCTATATCTATAACCTTGGTAGAACACAGTGTGCTTCTTGTGTACCTACCTCCTATATCTACCACCTTGGTAGAACA